TAAATAACCAAAAAGGCTGTTTCTCATAGTCTGGTTAACAGTGGATTAAGTTACAGAAGCTATTTAGCATGGGTGTTTTTTTGGCGGTTTTAGATGCGTAACCAATTTTAAGGTTCAAAGTTAGAAAAGGTTTTTTTTTTAAATTTTTCATCATATTTTATCATTATTTTTTATAGTAACTTATATGATATGATGAAAATAATGGTATCTCTTTAGAAAGACCATTTAATGGCAAGAACAACGGTATATATTATGTGTGGGTACAGTAAATGAGTAAGAGGAAAATTACAGCTAAACACAAACACCACAGAAATGTAGAAACAGCCATGGTCCTTAACGGTAAGAAAATTGAAAAATGGTCTGGTCACTAAGGGGTTAAATTGCATCTGCTATCTGAGTGTCAAGTCCCCAGTGTCCAGTAATCTATCCAAATCCAACTGCAGAAAAGTAACATCCTCCTCACTTTGTATTACCTTACCTAGGCAAAAAAGATTTTGGCACCTGCCCCCACTAATTTTCACCATTGTATATCTTACACCTGCCTTGTGTATCTCTTACAACCCCCCTTTGTGTGTCTTACTTCCCTCAGCCCCTTTGCATATCTCCTTCTCTCCCAGCCCCTTTGTCTTTTACTCTTACCAGCTCCTTTGTGTGTTTCTGTTTCACCACCAGCCCGTCTATCTCCCCCTAGCCCCGCTGTGTCTCCTTTGCCTCTACTCCAGCCCCTCTGTGTCTCTTTCACCCCCAGCCCCTTTGTATTTCCACCCCCAGGCCCTTCTGTGTGCCGCTTTCATCCCCAGCCCCTCTGTGAATTTTAACACCCCCAGGCCCCCTCCCCCCTCATGTCACTCCGTGTTTCTTTCTTGTCAGCCAGGCCCCCCTCTATGCCACTCTCTCCTCCATGTCCCTCAGTGTTCCTCTCTCCTCTCCTCCATGACCATTAGTGTTCCTCCCCCCCTTACCTGTCTCTTAGTGCCCCCCATTCTCCTAAATGTTCTTCCCAATCCCCTCCCCTCTTAGTGTTCCTCCCCCTTCTCTTTTATTGGTTCCCTCTACCCCATTGTTCTTTTTTTATTCCCTCCCCTGTACCTTTGTGCCTTCCCTTAATGTTCCTCTCTCTCACCCCCAGTGTTCTTCTCCCCTCCCTCTTTTTTAGTGTTCTTTCCTCCTCCTCCCCTGTCCCAAGGTGTTCTTTTCCCCATCTTTTCTTTCTCCCCCCCCCCCTTTCCTATAGTGTTCTTTCTTCCCTCCTGTCCCATAGTGTTCTTTCCTCCCCCCTGTTCCAAAGTGCCCCACCCCTCCCCTTTCCCATAGTGTTCTTTCCCCCCGTCCCAGGTGTATCTCCTACCTTTCTGGTAGCATGGCAGACCGCAGTACAGGAGTTTCAGTTTCCTTACCCGGCAGTATTGACAGGAAGTGCTCTCTCAGTGAGCACTTCCTTTCAGTCCAGCCGGGTACAGGAAACAGAAGTTCCTGTACCACGGTGCGCACTGCTTCACTTGGCCACACTACACTGAGTCCCTGGCATCAGGGAGCACTGTGGGCCCACCTCCTGCGAGCACTATATTCTAGCGTCCCCTGGGCCAGTGTGACCTAAGACGGCCATTTGTGCCACCTTATGGACGCGCTGACCCTGACCTTACCTAGTTTTGCATCATCTGCAAGCATTGACACGTCTTGACTTTCAACGCCTATTTCAAGATCATTTATAAATAGGTTGAAAAGAATTAGTCCGTGTCTCTCAAAAAACAAATTCATCATAGACAACGTCACAGACGACGTCACCGACGACATCACAGACGCATCAGCTGCTACTTGTTCCTCATCATTCATTGAGAGACTGAGTCACCGTTCACTGTGGTCTTTTTTGAAGATTCCGACTGCGGTGTCTACTGAACCGTGATTCAGCTAGCAAGTACCTGTCAATGTTCTAGCGATTCTTCAAGGCTGTCAGCGTACTGGTGATTCTTCACATCACTACAGACAACTTTCTATCGGAAGAATTCACCAGTTCCTTCTCTGTCTTTTTTTATGTTGCAAGGGTTTTTCACCTCAGATGGGGGCCCACATCGAGGTCAAGGTACTCACTGTATCGTATACAGTGTCTCTATAATGGAGGTTCTGTATTAAGATGTCAGTCTCTGTTTTTATCTCTTTTTTTCTTATATATGCATTTTATCTTTATTGTCTTTGTAAACACACTTATCCTGTATCTTTTGATTTATATTTGATACAAACCGTCACACCGTCGCTTCGGTCACTGGAGATATCCGAGATTGACATCGCTAAGGCACTACTGGCTCTAGGGGCAACTAACTCATCAATCCGCAGGGCTGCATAAAAACAAAGGGAAAAGGCCACTCTAAAGAGAAGCACTTCAAAGGGAGAGAAACAAACTGATGGAAGAACCCCACACAGATTTTCAAGTAAGGGGACAGAGAGCGGATGACGGACGTCCACCACCCATTCCCTCCTCCATCCCCATACAGAATGACTTCGTAACATCTTCCCATCCCATAAAGTGCATAAGGAAGGAAAGGGCTGACATGTTACACTCTACAGAAGCCACTGATGCTCCTTCAGAACGCAAGTGTAGCACATAACCTACCTTTGGATGATGCCAAATCAAACTCCCCTACCGAACCTGATATCCATTGTTCCCATACTGATCCATACGCCTGCCAGGAAGAAGGAGCCAACAACCTCTGATTAGTTCCGTTAAGTTCTAAAATCGAGGTTTCATAAGAAATCTGGACACGTCAGGCCCATTGCGTCGACTCTCTGAACTACTTCCAGAAAAAGATCCCACTGCAGACAAGAGAGAGAATCCACAATAGAATTATCGACCTCTGGAACATGAACCGCATGAAACCATATGTTAAATTCTAGACATCGCAACACCAACTGCCTTAAGAGAGCCAGGACTGGGGGAGACCGTGATGACAGCTGATTTACCACATGGACAACACTCGTATTGTCCCTCCAAATAGAACCTGTGTGTTCGCGAAAACAGAACCCCACAGCTCCACTGCCACAATAATGGGAAACAGTTCCAAGAAGGTTAGGTTGTGGAGCAAGTCCTCACCAGTCCAAGTCAAAGGCCATCGACCCGCACACCAGTGGCCCTGGAAATATGCACCAAACCCGATAGATCCTGAATCGTCAGTGAACAATTCCAGGGTGGAGTTGGATACCGAATTGGTACGCCAATAGGTATGCCCATTATATCCCAACAAAAATTTGCTCCTCACACCCAAATCCACCTGAAGTGGAAGGGGAGACGAATGCCCGCCATCGCTAGGGAGAGCTGCCGGCTAAAAACCCGACCCATATGTATGACACGACATGCAAAATTTAAGTGTTCCAGGAGAGATTGAAGTTGCCTCAGCTGAAACTTTCTAGAACCCTTAACCAATTACACTATGGGCGACAATACCTGCATTTTATCCTCTGGAAGACGAAACTCGACCTTGATTCCCAAAAAAGAGATAACCGTGCAAAGGGAATGCCAAAATCAAGCATAACCTCCCAAAAGTGACATAACAAGGAGATGCAGGCCGGTGAATCCGCTGGACCAATGAACAAGAAATGGTCCAGGCAGTGAAGGAGTGAAAGGCTACCCGACATGTACGACATGACCCACTCTAGAAAGGAACTAGACAACTCAAAGTAATAACAGGAAATAAAACAACCCGTGAGAAGACACATGTCAAAAAAGAAGACACCTTAAAACTGGCAACCCAGAAGATGAAAACAGTCCGGATGAAGCGGTAGCAAACAAAACGCAAATTGGATATCAGATTTAGCTAACAGGGCCCCTTGCCCTGTGTCACAAACCAACTCCAATGCCCTATCAAAGGATGCATATCGTCATTTGATATGTCATCATTGACTGACAAACCCACGGGGAAGGAGAGGTGATGAATTAACCTATACGCTCTTGGTTCTTTTTTAGGGACCAAACCCAGAGGTGAGACCCGCAAGTTGTCAAATAGGGGGAAGGAAAGGGCCAACCATACAACCTTTCCCCAAACCAACGACAAATTTGCAGCAAACGCCACCTCCAAAGACTCTGGAAATGGTATAATAAAACCCTCCGTGAAATATTTCCAAAGAATTTCTGCCTCTCAACGTTTAGGATACCGTCCGAGGCATTGACAGAGCCTTGACTCCATCCTTGGATGCCGATCTAGGCAAGTGTTTTCCCTGCTTAAAACAGCGCACCACCGGGTAGGCTCCTCCACAATTAGAGCATTCATGTTTGAACCGACTGCTACTGTACCATCTGTAATGGCTTTCGTTGAAGAGCCAGCAAATGCCTTTTTTGTGTCCCACCGACCCTCCAGCAGGAGCGCTGGTGGGTGCTGGAAATTTCACCGGGCAGCATGGCATCATCAATAAAAGTCATAAATTACCGTCCTGTATACTGAAATCCATCAGAGGCCAAACCACAATTATTTGCCTAAATTGTATTCCAACCAACATTTGCCTCTATATACCTTGTAAGCCCCCCATATTGAGTCTAGGTATGCAAACAAGGAAGGGTCCGCTAAAGAAACTTGCTAGATAGAATGCTAGCAAAAGTAACAAAACCCTGAAGCCAATTTCCAAAGGTCTGAGGAAATGCTTACCTTTTTCTCCTTCCGATGTATCACCACGATGCGGTCTGTCCACCGTTTCCTTATCTAGTGGGACTAAAGATAAAAGGGCTACAAACTCCCCCTTCAGAATTTTTTCTTTAACCTCCAAAGGAACATGGAGACCCAATGGTAACACCTCACAAACTGGGCCAAGTGAGGGGGCATTAACAGGTGCCTCCGCACCCATAGGAATGGAACTGTCACCCTGAGCAGCTAAAGAATCGCCACTACCTGCCTGCACTGCACCAGGACATAATGTATCTAAAACTGCCCAAAGCAAGCCTATCACTTTGCCGTGCTGGACATTAGACCCTGACTGTAATTGCGCAGATTGCCCAGCGCGAGCGCAATCATACTCACAAGTTGGGAGCAGCGAGTTCGGTCCCTCCACTCTCTGAACTACCAAATGGAAAGGAATGTTTCTTTCTCCCAGCCGACTTGCACTTGCTGCAGACATTCGGCAGGTTTCATCATCCGAATCCTGGCATCTATGATGATCTGACTGCTGGGTATCTGAATCAACCAGCCGCAGATCTCCTGAAGTTCCTCTCCGTTCAGCCCCACAACAGGCCCACTCCTGTGAAGCTTTGTAAAGATCACCAGAGTTCACCAAGCAAACTTCTTCCAACTCCTGAACTCCATGTGTGCGTGATCGTTCAGTACTTGCAGCCTCCCGAACACTTTCCAACCTTCTCGGTTTATGGACATCCGACTCCCGAACCCCAACCGTTCGGTTCACTTCGGGACTTTCATTCGCAACCAGGGCCTGTGACGTCCGTGAAGACTCCCGAGCAGATGTCATGTACACGCCCCGTTGATACTGTCGAACGTCATTTCTTCGATTAGAGTGCACCGCCGTCATTTCCTGTGAAGCCGGAAGAGACGAGCACGGGCTGCGAGATCTCTTCAACCATCCAGCGCCATCTTGTCGACCTGAGCCGTCATCTTATGGAGAAGGCCCAAACCAGCTGTCAGGTCCCCTGCCCCCATGCCACTAACGGCGACCTTCTTACCTCATAACAGCAAACGGCGTCATCTGGTCCCTGTCTCCAGACTGGCAATTTATCTGACTCTGCATGCTCCAGAACACCTTCCTTATATGTGTGCTGCACCCGGTCATGTGACCCGACACACAGTGCTGACCTCAGAGACCACAAGGGAGGGAAGAAACTCCTCCCACATGTTGTGGTTCACACTAATTGGAGATTAGCCAATCAGACACACGCTGTGTGTATGTAAGCTAGCCTCTCCCTTGCCTCTGTGCCCTGTTGTGGTCTTTGGTTTACCATTTAGCGTTGCACTTGTTATTCGGATTTCCTGGTTACTGATATTTGACTTTGTCTCTCGTTATTCCGTTTCTCTGTTTCCCTTGACCTCGGCTCGTGTTTTGACTATTTCTTTTTGCATAACCCAACCATTCTAAGGATCGGTATTGCAATTCTCTCTACTCTGTCCTATCTGTGTGTTAGGGTTCTCTAGTAAATGTTACACCAGCAGTGCTCGGTCCCGGACTCATGGAAGCCTCAGGCGCAGGACTAGAAGACAGCCTGGATGGAGGTCTGGACCGATGGGCCCATCTCCCACAGCGAGGGGAATCCACCTCTGTTACCGGTACCAGGGGCTGAGGATCAGGAACGACATCCTGCAACAAAGAGGCGTAGGAATCTGCTCCATGGGTCCTATGGAAGGACTTCAACAAGGTAAGCAATACTTCCCTAGACATATCAGCTCCTCCAGCCATTGTGAAGTGGGTACAATAGTCAGTATCAAGTAATAGTAAATGGAAATTAAAGTAAACTCTTTTTTTCTGACAGGAAATCTCCACATGAAAAACACCACCAGGATCCCTTGGCTGTGCTACAGTGGACTGGTGAGTTCTCCCACAATTCCCGGCACCTAGTTTCTGTCTCATACTTTATAACAATTCTTTTACCATGCCAACTACTCTGGCCAGCAGTTATGTTACCCCCTCCTTAGGTAGTCTGGGGGTTGGACTTTCCCAGCCACGGAGGTTAAGCTCACAGGTATATCATTTACAGTCAAAGATTTTGAACCCATTTTAGATACAGGAACCACATCTGCCTTTCACCAATCCTCCAGTACAATTCCTATAAGAAAGGAATCCTGAAAGATAGAAAACAGAGTTTGCTTATTTTCACACTTAGCTACTTAAATACTCGTGGGTGAATGATTTTAATGCATAATTATAATTCCATACCTTTGCATAACACTGTATATACAATACTCTATATATATATATGTATAGAGAGAGAGCAAAAGAAAGAGAGAAGGGGAGACAGAGAAGATAAAGTATATTTCTACGTGTGTGGGATTTAATATATTTTATATATTTTATTTGGCTATTGATATGTTAAAACTTCTTCCTTCACTATTAATCTATTAATTTTGCAGATATGTATTCTCACATTGCATTTAACTTTGCACCCTGGAGAAAAAACAGCTCTGTAAAGATAAATAAATGCTCCTTGAAGGTTAATGCAATAGTCTGTGCGTATGGAAATTGAATCATAAGAATACCTCCTTCTAGTAAACCTTAGCTGTCAGTTGTCATAAAACCTACTTCATCCACCTTCAATATCTTTTATATCACTTTTACAGTTCCCTTTTTAGGAAATTTCCCTCTCTCATACTCTCATAAGTTAGAGTCACAACACTTTTTTAACTGACATCTGATTCTTCTACCTGACTGTGAAACCTGAGAAAGTCATATATCACTGTCAAAGTCATACTCATTGCACATTTCTGTAAAGCAATCACTTATTACATGTGACTCACATTCTGATGGGTGATAGTAAAGCACCCTAGTCATTATCACAATTAAAACACATGTTCTAAACTGTGATATATATACCAACCTGGTTATAACTCTTTTGGCAAGTTGAATGTTGTCCTTTGGATAGCATCTCTGTAATGCTGTTTTAAATTTATTCTGAGAGCTGTCTGCATTATTAGCTTTGAAGTAATCTGACTATTTTAATGGGACACTCCAAGCACCATAACAACCTGCTCTTTACCTAGGTTAAGGAACAATAAGCTACCTATTTGCACATTTCTTAACATTCAAGGCCATGGCAATATTACAGAAAAAAATAAAAACTGGGAGGGCTCAGAGTATAAAGAAGACCAACGTTCCAAGTGATGGAATATATTTTTCTTAGAAATAATTCCCAATGTTTCCTTTTGCAATATAGCCTGCATTAAAACAGCTATTTTCAGAACTGAGCACATTTAAAGTCATGCATAACAGAATTCTAAATATAAGCTGTACAGCTAGCACATGAATATGTGAAACATGGACCATAGTTCTATAGCATGCAATATTTTAGTGGTAACATGTAGTATTTTAAATGAACAGAGAATATACTTCATGACTGAGAAATGTGCTTTACCCTCTACCCACGTTCAGAATTTTTGTTAGTTTCTTCATAGTTTTCCTCAAAAAAATGTAAAAAGCACTCGAGGATAATGACATCTATTTACCTGAGGTTGTGATATCTCTGAGCTACTTGTTGAGCAATTAATAATGTGCACTGGGCAGAAACTGCATGGGCATCATCTATACACCAAAACTGCTTGATTAAGCTAAAGTTGTTTTGCTGACTATGGTATCCTTTTAAAATATAAATAATGAAATACATGTTTTGACATATAGAACCCTAAAACCACAGTCTCCTTCACTCACCTATGGTTTTAATAGCTATTAGAAAGAAGTTCTTTCTAATAGCTATTAAAATCAAAGGTGAGTGAAGGAGACTAATAGGTATTAAAACCAATTAAAGCTATATATATTACACATACTCTATTATGTGTATAATATAAGGGATAATGTGGAGGGGTGTTATAATCCTACTGGTATCCTCTATCTCACAGATAAGCTTCATTCTGACTGGTCTACTTTGTGCAACATTTTTTGGCAAGCAATATCCCCAGAATTGGATACAATATTCTAAATGTCCACATTCTAACTGCACTTCCATTTTCTTACAGTCAATTTAATTCCTACCCAAGAAAATATTCTGCTATTTCCTCCTGATTTATTATTTTTTTTTATATAGAATGATATTGTCTCTTTTCTAGATTTTATTGATTACATTAGAGTTTAGCATCCCGATTAGCAGCCTCTGATAAATCACAAGAAGATTTTGAAAAAAAAACATAAGTAAAAAATAAGGATAATGTTTGGTTTGTGGTTTCACTAGAACATGTTTGAGCATCACATGACTAAAATAAATGAAGATTAAAAACAAAAACAAAAACTGGAAGTCTACATGTCAATAGTTACTAAATTATATTTGCTAGAGATTTTCCTAGTAAAAGTCAAATGGAAGTAATATTGCACAAGGGAATTCATTTGAAACAGTTAGCCAGACACCTAGAATTTCAAGCTGCCTATGTATGTTAATCTGTAATGTTTACATGAAAACATTTCTTAGAATTATGCTAGTGTCTAGACAGAGAATGGGTTTCCACAATTAACCTTAGCCTCAGACACCTTATGGCATGGACATATAGAAGGATCAAAGAAAAAACAAGTATAAAGAATGCTAAGTGGCTTTCACCCAGTGTTGTGCACTATTATATTTCCAGAAAGTTATATGCCCAGTGCAATTATATCAATCCACTGCCTTTCATCATCACTTATTTAGAGAATCCTAAGATATGATCACTCTCCTATGGTAATCGAGTGCATTAATCACACAATATTTTTTTTTTAGGTCAACTTAAATATCACTTAGTTAATTAGTTAAATAGAAAAATAAATATAAAAGAAAAGCCAATTATCAATAAAGGAATTTAGCAATGTAAAATGTGAATTATTCACATTTAAACAGGTAAAAATTACAATTTCCTTGTCTTATTTGTATGTCTTAATAATAATTCTCCAGTGCATTTGCCGAATTTGTTCTATTTTAATGACACATGATAACAAATAATAGTAAGATTTTCCTCTATGCAATTATTTAATTACAGTTCCAGTGCAACAGAGGTCCACGTGAGTCTGTCGAACCCTGGCAGCACCTGGAGGGGGCAGCATTTCCCCACCCTTTCTGTGGTTTATTCCCCGTTCAGTTCCCCCCTCCAAGTGGACCCTTGGCAGTGGTGTTTTGTGCACTTGCTGCTTACCTTTGTTTTGCCAATTCATCTTTGCAAAATACCCAAATTGTTAGTTGTTTTCTGGTATAATGTTTTTTTATTTATTTTTTCTCTTTTTGTCTTCTATTTTAATGTAATTAGGAGGAAAAGTAGGATTAAGTAGCAAACAGATCAAGGCCAAGATCAAGGAGACACTCCGGAAAAAACCCAACAAACTGAGAAGACATATACAAAGAAAACAAAACTAACTGAATATACATGTTATGGAAGCCACTTAGTAACATTTGACTTTCAGACAAGGAGAGACAAAATATAGACACACTCCTGTGTACACTCTTGCATACTCATGCTCTCTCTCTCACTCTAGCACAGACAAACTCACACACAAGGAATACAATTTATCAAACACAAGTGAATATGAACATAACTGGGGTACCCCAGTGTCATATATATGCCATTCTCTGATTCAAGACAAACAATTGCAAGGACATGCTCCTACTTTATGTGCATCAGGTGAGTAAACACATACTAAATGCTCCCTCACTACTCAAAGTCCTGGTGGTCAAGAAAGGGTTTCTGAACGCTCTCTAGTTCTGTAGTGCTTTACAGTTATACAACAGGTGTATTTAACAATAAGCAATTCATGAATAAATATACTGTTGACAAAAGAAGTAAAGAAGGCCTGCTCAAATAGGCTTACAATCTAGGAGGAAGAGTTTAAGGAATACAAGAATGGGTCAGAGGAGA